TGACATGGAGAAACGTACACATTGCAAGCAGTAACTGAGAGGTAGTGTTTGTAAACAGAGGTGAAATACTCTCTGAAAACTTCCTTTTGGGTGTAGGGGGAACTGAGACAAGGTTTTAATCTATAACCCAGACTGGCCTGGAATCTCCCATGTAGCCTAGCCTGGTCTCAACCTCAGGACAAGCCTCCTACATCAGCATTCCAAGTGCTGAGATTCCAGGTCTAAGCCACCACATCCAGCCAAGATTGTTCAATATTGCACATGGATGGTCTGTAAAGGTACTCCTGGGCCTCTGGAGATAGCTCACTTGGTAAAGTGCTTGTCTTGCAAGCACAAAGACCTGAGTTCAATCCTAAGAACAGAGAGAGAGAAAGAGAGAGAGAGAGAGAGAGAGAGAGAGAGTAGGACTAGAGACAAGCAGGTCCCTGGGCCTCGCTAGCTAGCCAGTATAGCTTACTTGGCAAGCACCAGGCAAGTGAGAGACCCTGTTTCAGAAACAAAGTGAGAACAAGACTTAAGGTTGCCCTCTCACCTCCATACACATCTGCACACACACACACACACACACACACACACATACCCACAACAATAAGATGTGTCTGAAGGCAAGATCTCACAATGGCAGCTGGATATAAAGACAGAGAAAAGTACAATAAGATGTTTCTGAAGGCAAGATCTCACAATGGCAGCTGGATATAAAGACAGAGAAAAGTATTTTTTTGAGCTATGGCCCAATTTTGTGACTTTGCTGGGGTGGCTTAAGAAGCATAATTACTTGAACTTTTGCTTCAAAAATGTTGAAGAGCCAAAAATAAAGTCAGATCTTGAAACGGTATGCTGAGAGCATCCTGGAGGATGTCTTTGAAAAACTTCTAAGAGTGCTTTTACTCCAAAATGAGATTGTTTCAACCACAAAAGGAGAATGTAAGTGATCTAATGAAGATTACGGAGTAGTCTGGGCTGTAAATAATGCGTTCTGGTCACAAATATAATAGTTTAGCTTAAACATGCCTGGTTCTGGTCTGCAGCTGTTACTGCTGTGCATGAGACTGTGGATATTCCCCATAGGGCTGCATATCTTTAGGAGCTTCCATGAAGAGTGAGTAGAAGTACTACTGTTCTCTGGGTTGGAGGCGAAAAATGGCAGTATTCTCTTACATCTCTTACCATTTAACTATCTAAAAGAGGGCTTGTACAGCTGTGGTGCCCTTTCGTGATTTCAAAGTATGTTACATTTCTCTGCCACTGCAAACCTTTATAGATTTATGTCTAGAACAGAACAGATGTCTTCCCTTTGACGAACAATGGACACTGTTTAGGTTGACTCTGTCATGCTGGGGTTGCCCAAAGAGAAGAACAAGCCATGTGATAGGGTATTTTCATTCCTTCTGAGGCAGCATGAGCTTAGAGTCCGGTGGTATTGACAGATGAGGCCAGCTGAATCCCATGAGGTAGTGGCTGCTGAAGGAAGCAGGGAATGCTGTCCAATGACTGAACATGCCAGTGTTCAAAAGAAAACAAGGTACTGGTGCCAGCTGTCAAGGTGGCTTTGTTCTGGGCTTTTGTGCAAACCATTCCCAATAAGGTTTTGAGTCAGGGAATGTCATTACACCAGTACATAAGAGCAATAATTCATCTCAGGGCTGGAAAATTCCAATACACACGTACCTCAGGCAGATTCTCTATGGCAGTGTACTTCTGCACTACCACCTCCGTTCCTCCCCATCCAAGCCCAGGACAACCCTTTGTTCCAAACTCCAGAGTGGTGCTGTAATTATCCCTGCCCCTATGTAAACACAGCAGAGGGGCTGTCAGAATATCTGTGATATCTGCCCTAACCCTTGTGAATCTAACCCTTTTTTAAAAAATCATGATCTTTCCTCAATTAGTTTTGATAATTCTTCTGACCACACAGTGCAAATTTCATATTTAGAAAACATACTGTTTGACATTTAGGACGGGAAAGCCCTCTCAGGGATGGCTACTCAGGATGAGCCATTGGGAAAAAAAATAAGGCTTTGTAACCTGGCAGCCAACATAGTTCAGGCTATGAACCATTGGAAAAATCTGCCTACAAAGTTAACATAGTACACCTACTTTGAAGGTGTTGGAATAATAAAGTGGTTTTTTTGTTTTGCTTTATTTTTGTAAGCTCCTTCTGACTTACAGGCTCCATAAACCTGCAGAATCTGAATGGTTAGGGTGCTAATGGTTAGGGTGCTGGAGACTACTTGTAACTGAAAATAGATGGGCCTTTTGAGCACTCAGCCTAACATGGATTGCTTGGCCAGCACTTTGGGAATAATTCTAGATTTTTCTAAAATGTCTAGCACTCCATCCGATACATAAATAGTAGTCACAGATGTTTCTGTTGTTAATTATTAATCAGGTTCAATGATGAACAGAACATTCCAGTGTGAAGACCTGACTAATACCAAAGGGTCTGCTGATGTCACTGGAAAGGAAACTGGACTCTGGACAGGTCTATGGGGCACAGACTCCAGAGCCTGAATTCTTAGATTAGAATACTAACTTTTCCACATATTTATTCTCTAACCTTGAACAAGTAGTGATCATTTAGTACTTTCACCTGTAAATCAAAGGCAAGACATTGTACCTGTATAATATTGTGATAAAATTATCCCTCTACATAAAAATTAGAAAACACAATGAAAACCATTTTAATGGCTCTACAATCAGATAATCTTTATAATAAGTATTTCACTGTATAATTCATGGTGGGTTTTCCCTTTCTTAGAGGTACCTAATATTAGTGCTTTTTATAATC